TCCATGCCAAGTCGTACTGCTTATTGGTACCTGTTTTCCATGGAGACAAGATGATGGTGATAGAGGATTCCTTAAATCCTTGTATTTGTGTCACCTTTGACAATAATTGCAGCTAAAGATAGTTTCTATTGAAGAGGATGGCACTGGTAATTGTGTCTTGGTATCCCAGTAGGGAAAGAAACAATTATTTCTAAGAGTATTAGAAACCAAGGTTGGGAATGAGCTGGAATACGGATGGCCCTGTCTAACTTGTATTAAGCAGCCAGTCAAGGGAATGCTCATAAGTGGCTGCTTACTAAGGGGTGGTGCTTAATAGAGGTATGGTTTACCCAGGTAAGAATGACAAGTTGATATTTTGAGATAACATTTAATAATAACAATAACAATCCATGTATAAGAATAGAAATGGAATTAACGATGTTTAACATTAAAATAATCTTTTAGACATGTCTGTTTTACACTTTTGATTTTCTTCTTGCTAATTTTTCCCATAATAATCATAACCGCATAAACTAAACCTATATTCATAATCATTAATATTTGTTTAAATTCGTATATTGATTATACAAGAGGCGGTTCAAACATCGGTAAGCGCCGCCATGACAAAAACAGACTTTGAATTGAAACGATATGCTGATGAAAGATTTGAGAATCTTGCAAACAGGATAGAAGAATGTTCAATATCTCAAAATGAAGTGTCAGACATAGTTACTGAAAAATGTACCCAAATGGATGAAACGAACAATACAATTGAAACATTAAAAAATAAAATAATCAACCTACAGGACAACATGAATGAGCTAGCGCAATACTCCAGGAAATCTCATATTCGTATTTTTGGAGTGCCGGAAAGTGAAGGGGAAGTTGAGATAGCCCAGGATATTTTCCGAAATAAACTCAACCTACAGTTCGATCTCATTATAGACGCAGCTCATAGAGTTGGCAGATTTAATACCCCCGACCTAAGTAAACCTGGGGTAACGATCAGACCCAGAGGTATAATCGTAAGACTTTTGAGGAGAGACCATAAGCAAGCCATAATAACGGCCAGAAGAAAACTAGCTGTAAGCTCCATATCAATATGTGAAGACATGACTCTTACAAATGTGAAACTTTTAAAAGAAACTCAAACATAAACAGATAAAAACGCATGGTTTACCAACGGTAAGATCAAGGCTGAGGACTATAATGGACATGTGATTAGAGTTCAAACACAAACAAACATTAACGATGAAATTCTAAAAAACTAGAAATCGTAGCTAACTGACAAAGTGATATATTATATTGTAATACAATGTTTGCCTGATAAATAGAGTAATTATAACTGTGTTAACCTGTGTATATGTATATATTTAATGCTATGTAAAGCAAGTTAATATAAACCCACGTGTGTGACGCTTTAAACATCGTCTGTTCTCACTGTATTATGCATGTAGCCTGACTTCTTTAATCTGTAAACCAATGAGATTGGCTGTGGACATGTCAATCTTTAGTTTGAAACCAATGACATTTGAGGGGGGAGGGGAGATTAA